CAAAACTGCTCTAGAGAGTTGTACACCCCTAGCTACCAGTGCTATCAGTGGCCTAAAATAAAATGTTTCGCTCCGGATGATTGCTGCAAAGTATGACCTGTGTTTTTGATTTAGTGTGCTGATCTTAAAGGTGCATTGAAAATTTATAATACTCCGATTGATGCTCCTGCTGTTGTGGAGTGACTCATGTAGCCAGCTATGGCTGCAGGGTTTTGGTAGTCCATGTTGTTTTCATTTATTGTGAAAATTCTGTCAGTTCCTATGATCACTGTTTCATTGCTTTATTTTGGTGATTTCGAAAAGTTTACTGGTTTGGTCCATGTTTGTTGTAGTACGGAGTAAGACTGATGGCCTTAATCTAAGTTGTCTTGTGGTTGTTGCTGTTTGACTTGCCTCCCACTGGGATTTTTGTACACAGCATTGGTGTACGGTGCTTTTTCTGCAATATTTTGCTGTCTTTTCTTGGATTTTCTGTTTGCACTTGTTTTTTGTTTGTTGCGGTTGCACCCGATTCAAGAGCCGAATGGCTCACAGGGCTATACCTAATAAATTAACTTGAACCAACATTAGTGCAATGAGAAGCCTTGGCACAATTTTCATGCAGGACTCATTTACACTCCCACAATGCTTTGTTAAAGTTTGGTTTTCCAAAAGTCACTCCACGTTGAGCCCACTGCCTCAAAACTACAGGTTTCTTTTATCAGGTAAAAAAACAGAGCTATACAAATATTTTTCAGAAGGGACTTGGCCACAAATGAGCTCAGTGGCTTTTGGAAATTGGCAACGGCCAAATACTCGGAGGGGCATGTTTATAAATGTTGATATTTTGCAATTTCACATCGCACGTTGGACTAAACCACCAGCAAACTAGATGGTCACCACTATCTGTCCACACCGTTGCCGTAATGATCTTAATTCTACACATCCAAAGCAAACATGCAGCCAAAGACAACCAGGTAGTATCAAGGCCTCCTATTGGTGCAGAGGCCTCCATTAGGTGATTGATCAGGAGGCCAGGTTTGAAGGGATTCAACTGAAAAAGGCAGGAAGCAAAGGTTGAGGTTTGAGGTGACGGTTGCACACCGTTGAGAGCTCGACGTGAGAGAAGGGGCTCCAAAGAGCTAAGAGGAGAGCACAAAAAACATGTCAGGGGAAGAGGCACTTCAAGAGTCAAGCAAGTGGGGCCGAATTGCTGTGACAATAAAAAAGGCTGCAAGGTCGTCCATATCTTTACACTTCCACCAATAAGAGCTTTGAGAAACGTTGATTTAAGTTCAATCCCCCACCCCCCCACACACAAATATGAATGGAGTCATCTGCATATTCTCGGTGTATAGTTCGCAAGGGCTTGGGACAAGGTTAGTTTGGAGTTATGCGTCACTCCAGGAACTCAATTTCTAGTCAACGGCCACGCTGCGAGAAATCTTCAATACCACGGATCAGGTGCGTGGCCGCTGGCACGACTATTTTGTTTCCAAGATCTGCCTAAACCAGATATGGGGGGAAAAAACGGCCCGTGGCCGTATACGGGCCCGTTGGGCTTTTTAATCCGGCCCGCCGAACTTGTCCAATTATTATTATTAAAGAAAATGTTACCTTCTTCCTCTAATGCTCCCATTTCCCCAATAGATAGCGCACTTTGACCGGGAGTGTGGTGTACAGTAGAACTTCTGGTCACGACCCATAATTTGTTCCATAACTTTGGCCGCAACTCGATTTGGTCGTGACTCGAACCGAATTCCCCATTGGATTGTAGTAAATACGATTAATCCGTTCCAGACTCCTACGAACTGTATATAAATATAGTTTTCTTAAAGATTATTAAGCACAAAAATAGTTAATTACGCCATAAAATGCAGTGTAATAGTAAACTAAATGTAAAAACATTGAATAACACTGAGAAACCTTGAACAGAGAAAACTAACATTGCCGCATCAAGGTTTAGAATCGTTCAACAAGATGATTGTTTCGTCTGCTACATCAGTCGGTCGATTCTGAGAGAGAGAGAATATTCGTATGAGCAATTCATATTTCTATTGAAAGTAACTTAACAGTAATATTTGGGTACAGTATTGTTTTTGGAAGCATTCACCGTAATATCGTATGCACGTTTACTTCACCGCATCATCGTATGAATGATGCGAGAAGAGATTAACGGGTTCTTATGTTAGCGATTTACGTACTCGGCGCTTTCGCTCTCTAAATTACGGCTTGAATGAGGGGGAAGGGTATGACTACACTCACAAAATTAATATCTTACTAGGAATTTTATATAACAAAAGTTATATACATAACTGTTACGCTTTGTGTAATTCAACAAAACAAACAAAACTTAACTCCGAGTTCTCTCCGAATTTCACGAGTCCGTTCTAGACCTCACAGTTTTTATATTGTTTTAAGCACAAAAAACATAATTAAAGTTTGAAAAAATCATTAATTATACAAACTTCTCAATAATTTCTTTCTTCACTTCGATTAAAATTTTCTTTAAAACTTTCTTCTCACCAACATTACCACCCATTACCAATTTCTCCGAAGGCAAGTTTGTAAAATAATGTATGGTACAGACAGCAGACATCTGTGTCCGGAGATCAAAAGCAAATTTGAAAAAGTCAGTTTATCACGCAGGACTGTGACTCGCCGTGTGGAACTGATTGATAAAAAATATAGCCAGTCATTAAAAAAATTAACCCGTAAAAACAAAGTTTTTCACTATAAATCATTTATATGCGTGGCATCGGTTTAATTTTATATTCATTTCTGTTTTTCTTGAGTAAGAGTTTCATTTTACCACATTGGTATTTTAAATTAAATATGATTTTTTTCCCTAAAAAGTGGAAAATTTTGGAAAAAAATTTTCACGAAAATAAATTGTCACGCACAACGAGTCTGTGTGCAAAATGTCAGCTCGATTGGATCACGGGAAGTGGGTTAAAAAACGACAGAAAGATTTGCACGGTCGTAAGCGCGCAAGCAAGCAAGCGAACTTAATATAAAGGATTTCAAAAAAGTCTGATTCCTTTGAATTATATTCACTAGCACTGGATGAAAGTACGGACGTAAAAGACACTGCTCAGCTCCTCGTTTTCATCCGAGGCATTGACGACAGTTTTGCGATAACAGAGGAGTTTTTGACCATGGAGTCCCTGAAAGGAACAACGCGGGGAGAGGACTTGTATAACCAGGTATCTGCTGTCATCGAAAGAATGACGCTACCTTGGAGTAAACTTGTCAATGTCACAACGGATGGATTGCCAAATTTTATTGGAAAAAATGTTGGGCTACTGAAAAGAATCCAGGATAAAGTGAAAGAGGAAAACCCTGTCCAGGATCTTATTTTCCTTCACTGCATCATCCATCAGGAATCCCTGTGTAAGTCTGTATTGCAGCTTAATCATGTCGTGAATCCAGTCGTAAACTTGAACTTTATACGAGCAAGGGGACGTCAGCACCGTCAGTTTATTACCTTCCTGGAGGAAACTGATGCGGATCATCAGAACATGCTGTACCACTCTCGTGTCCGCTGGTTAAGTTTGGGGAAAGTGTTACGAGTGTGGGAGCTGAAAGAGGACATCATCGCATTTTTGGAGTTGATGGGGAAATCTGACGAATTCCCCGAGCTAAGCGACAAGAACTGGCTTAGTGACTTTGCGTTGCTGGACACATTTTCACACATGAGCTGAATGTGAAACTGCAGGGGAAAGATCAGTTTGTTCACGACATGTACAAACATGTGAAAGCCTTCAAATCCAAGCTCACTTCGTTCTCTAGACAAATTGCGAACAAATCTTTTGCTCATTTCCCCACACTGTGCCATGCAGGAAGAGGCAACCGCGAAACGCAAAAAAATACAGCAAAATCATTTGAGGACCTGCACGGAGAACCTACCGTAGGTTCTCCGATTTCGAAAACATTGAAGTCACTTCAGCTGGTGTCCTGTCCCTGTCACAAGACCCTGAAACAGCACCACAGGAGCTGCAGTTGGAACTGATAAATCGTCAGTCCGACCCGTCCTAAAGGAGAAGTTCAACTCTGTTAAACTGAATTACTTTTATGCTTCACTTAAGAGCCACGTTTCCAAACCTCCGGAGGACTGCACAGAAGATACAGACTTTGTTTGGCTCGACTTGTGTGCGCAGACATTGAGTCATGAACGCCAACAAAGCCCGTCACAGATCAAAGTTAATGGATCAGCACCTCATCTATCCTGAGAACTGCCACAACCAAACTAACTTCAGACTTGGATGCACTGGCAAAAATGGGAGATCACTGTTCCCACTGAGCGAGGTTGGAGCCAAATCTCCGACAGCCTGCGTGGCTGCTCCAACCTGTTAATGTAGGTAAAGTTCAAGTGAGGTAATTGGGTTTGGCGCAGGCCTCAGATGTTTTCATGATGTTTGATCAGTCACGGTTGACATGTGTTTGTATTGTTCGTGCAATTTGTTAAATTGCCTTGCAAATAAATACTTTGCTACCTGTTAAAGGCCAAATACTTTCATGTAATGATTTTTACATGTCATTTATATTAGTTCACACGAACTCCATCCACCTGTTCCTGGCCCCTCTGTCAAATTTTAAAACCCATTGTGGCCCGCGAGTCAAAAAGTTTACCCACCCCTGGCCGAACCATTTGAGGGTGAAGGGAGCGTCAGCCCTGTTTCTACAGAAATATATTTAGGGACGTTAACCATTATTTAGGGTGCTATTAACTGGGTGTTGAGTGTTACCATCAGATCCGTTTTAAACAGTACGAAGCCCGATCCTCCTGAGATGCGAGGTCAGTGGGGCGCTCGTGGCTCCTTTGAGCAAAACCAATATATTGAGGCTCTTCCATCAAGACCACCACCATTGCCCGAAACCAAATCTGCATCACGAGAAAGGAACAGCATCATCCACTGCTTGCCGGTTCAACTTGAAAAAACACGAGTCAAAGCCCAGGACCAGTTTGCAGGCAATTTATTAGTCTTCATTTTATATATAAACTAGCAGAAGTACCCAGCGTTGCCCAGGTGAAAAATATATTTCTTAATAACCTTACATATATACACAGATGGGCTGCTACCCCTGCCCCCCCCCCCCAGCCATGATCTCCTCAGCCGCTGTGCAGTAGTATGTACGGCCTATAGTGTGGTGGGGTGTCGAGGCCTAGTACCGTGCAGAGCCTCCGGCCTCGCCTAAATTGCCCACCCAGCTGAGGCTGGGTACTGGGGCCGTTACCCCCCCCCCCCCCCCCCCCGCATTACAATAATACTGTGTAATCGCTATAATTTTATTATTTACCGACCCTAAAATAGTAATTGCACACATTGTGGTGGGGGGGGGGGGGGGGGGGGGAGTGAAGAGGACGTGAAACTTTGTTGAATTTACCTCAGTCGCGTGTTAATGCGTGCACATATTTTTTACAGGAATTAAAAATGGCGTCCACCCTGCAGCGAATGCGTCGCTACCCGTTGCCAGGGGCAACCGCCGTGGTAAACCAAACGGACCAATCATGTCTCGCAAATCCCTCACATTTCGTCCAATGAAACTGCGTATGGTCCGGCGACACAGACAGACTTGCGATTTTATATATATAGATTGATTTGGGCTTATCAGCAGAAATGGGTGGGCCACAGGGCCCCTTGAGGAGAAACACTCCTGGAACGGGGGATGGCCGGCCACGAGGATCCCCGTCCACAAAAGCTTGGAAGTCCATATTCTTGGGTTTTTTCGGTAAAGTCGCGTAAGTAAAAAAATTTAAATTATTAAAAGTAAAATAAAAATAAAATATAAATCACGACGTTTCAGAGGCAACACAAGCCTCTGTCTTCAGGTGGAGCAGTCACAGCACGCTCGCTGCATCAAGTAAATGAGAAATGCCAAGAGATCTGACCCCGTATATATACTGGTTGAGGGGGGAGGAGCCAGGGCAGGCCCCTGGATTAGGCGTGTTTTATTATTATGGCAAGGTTGGTGTGGCTGAAGCTCCGGCTTGTCTACATAACTGGCTGAGGGGGGGGGTGCCAGAGTTGTTAAAGTGCAGCTGCTGCTAAATGGTACCGGATCCCCTGCCATGTGGATGTAAAAGCAAAAAAGCAGGTCAGGAAGAAACAGCCTCCTGCTACGTTGCTTGGTGGGTAAAAATTAAAGCAGGAAACCAGCGTGTGAAAAAAGCTAAACATGATAAAACAAAACTGGCCGTCTATCAGTAAACTGTACAGTAACTAAATAGCAGTTGTCTGTCAAATAAGATGCTTGGAAGTCCACGCTGGCGCCTTGGGTCTCGTGAAGATTCCATGATCTTGCGCACTTCATCCGGGTTATGCACCCTGCATTCGTGATACAGGAACACTTTCTGCTACAGCAATGCACCAATCACTCTGCTCAGTGTTGCAGCAACATAAATATGAATCAAAATGATGTGGCCATGACGAGCCCAGTCTCAATCAACATCCAACAGTGACTATGCGTGCTCAGTCGTTCTTGCAAAACAGTGCCACGGCAAATGGCACCGCCTCAAGCCACAGCGGCTCCCAGTGCACGCGGAGACGCGTCATGGCACCACATTGCTCGAGAAACGTTTGCTTGCAGTTCTGTCGCCGTGGAGGGCACAAGAAACCCACCGCCAGGTAGAGCCGCATGTGCTTCACGAGCAGATTCTGGAGCGTGTACTTCCTCATGGAGACTCCCCGCGCCTCCTTCACAGTTGGCGCAGAACTCGCACACAAAGATGTCCATCACAGCGCTCAGATCCTCCATGGCAGCAGCAGACGAAGGCATCACGAGAATCCTTCACCCAACACGTGTACATTACATACCAAGATAAAGCTCGCCAATAGCCTTTTTTGGGTGCCCAGACTTACAGCACAGCTCAACTTGCAACACCCCCCCCCCCCCCGCATAAGACTTTCTTGTAACAATTAACACCCTCGATAACCAAACTACCGACGGAGGCGACGAGTCTGAGCAAGTCGTGTGCAGACGCAGCGCCATTAGCCCAACTACTACATTTTGAACAATGTAATCTACCAAGAACCTTATTTGAAACATTTACCAGCAAGGCATTGCAATAATCGATTCGCTAGAGAACAAGTGCATGGACGAGCCTCACAATCAGCAAGTACTAGTATGTTGTGCAGTCGAGCACTGTTCGGAGGTTAAAGGTTTTTCACAACCTTGACACGAGCATCGAACGGAAAGGGATGGATCAAATATCACCAAAATAACCAATCATGCTTCGGGCAGACGTTCTGGCCATCAATAACTAGGCTTAAAAGTCCCAGTTTAGTTGTTGGGGAGCCCCGACTAAAATATAATTCAATCTTATTTTAATTTAGCTCTGAACATATTTTTCCTGCAACCGTGATTTCAGTTGAAATAATTTTTCCGATGTAGAATATGGTGTTAGCTGGAGGCAAACGTGGGAGTCATCCGTGTAGCAATGGTAGCGCAGCCCTAGAAATTCAGTGCTCCACAGGGTCATGTTAAAAGGCTAAACAAAGCGGGAATAAGCACCCATCCTTGGAAGTACCCTAGACTGCACCAAAACCGACAGGGCTTAAAGCCACTCAGTGAAATATGGCTTGGGGTTTTCTAGCCGTTAAATTAAAATCATTGCTAACAAGCACCTGTTAAGGCCAACACTACGCCCAGATGTATTTTTATCCTAAGCAGTGATGTTTATACACCACATCCTCATTTTTGAAGTTGATGTAGGGAAGGCCCAGGACTGGTTAAGACTATCCTCAGCAGGTGCTGACCGATTGGGAATCAACTCTGGTCGCCGGGTTCACGAATCGCAGCACGCAAACCGCTACAATACCCTTCAGATCTCAAACATAGGCGTGTACAATCCACGCGGCCTAACTGCAGACCCTACACAACACTAATATTGCGTTCAGTGGAAGACAAGATCTGCGAGATTAAGTGGCTTTATAAACCAGGAGACAATTTAAAGTAGATGCCTCAATTTCGCCCCAATGCTCGAGAACAGGCAGCGCAGAGAAGATTCACAGCGAGAAAGTCACGGATGTCTTCACCGCACTCGAGACGCCGAAAGGAGACGAAACTCACCGGGGCGTAGAGGAAAAAGAGCGTCGAGCAGCAACCACTGACTCCGCCTCCCGCAGGGTTTAAATCCTCACCTATGCTGGTGACGTCACTAATTACGCCTTCACGTGGGCTGGTGACGTCGCGCATAATTGTTTGCACCTGTGCTGTTAACAATCATTACATCGACATGTTTTATTGACGTCACATGACCCATCGAGTCTCCGCGTGTGAATCTGACCAATTCCGTGCGTCAGCTCATTCAGACGAATTCCCTGCCCGTGCGGGGTAATGTAAGCGGGGGCGATGATAATTGATGATGATGACGAGAATGAAGGTGGCTGAGTTTGTCTGTCTCTGTGATGTTCACTATTGTTGTGAAGGCGTCACTCGCTGTTCTGTTGCCAGGAAACTTGATCACAAATCCAATGCGAGTTTTGTTATTCAGCGTCGATTCGCCTGAACTCTCACCTCGCCACGTGATTTGCCAGCAGCTCGCGTCTCTCACTGCCGCGCGTAGACGCAGTTCTCGCGTTAACGACTCCGATCACCGCAGCGCCACTCCTCCTGCAGTGTCACCGAGTCTCACTAATCTCTCCCAGTATCCTGCGCCGAGATGTTTGGCCAGTTTCACATGGCACACGTGGTTCCCAATAATCTGGGAATGCCCCAAACGCCTGGAATTCGAACGCTTCACAAATGTCCGTGGTTTCCCTCCCATCTCCATCGCAATTCGATGCCGAGCTGTCGATTCTTGACGATAACTTCACCTGCAATTGCTCGTGACTCGAATATCCACGCGTGTTTACAGTTGAGTGCAATAGCCACCTTATATCTGTTTAATGTTCATGTTACTTGTAATTATACCACGATCAGTCTAAAATAATCGAATCGACTCAGGTTACAGAGAATTTATAAACCATTAATTATGAAAATGCAATATTTGCGGTTTTCATGGGACGTAGTTGTTTTCCTTCAATCACTTTTTAAATCTTTTATATTAAGTTCGCTTGCTTGCTTGCTTGCGTGCTTGCTTGCTTGCTTACGACCGTGCAAATCTTTCGGTCGTTTTTTTACCCACTTCCCGTGATCCAATCGAGCTGACATTTTGCACACAGACTCGTTGTGTGAGACAATTAATGTTCGTGAAAAAAAATTCAAAATTTTTACACTGTTTAGGGAAAACAAATTAAATATTTAATTACCAATTGCTTAATACTGGCAGACAATCATCTGACCCATAGGTGGCAAGCCATCTCAAGCCAGAGGACGAGAAGACTCTAGCCGCCACGCATATAAAGGATTTATAGTGAAAAACTTTGTTTTTACGGGTTATACTTATTAGCTTCATTGCTGTAAATTACTTATGTTGCTTAGATCACTCTTAAAATCCAATAGCTCAACTACGCCATCGTGTCATCACCAACGTCATCATCTTAATTACAGCACAATAAGAAGGACGTGCATTAGACGCTGCTGGCACGATTTTGCGTTTCCATTTACACTGCCACGTTGCTTTATATCACAAAGTTCGGTTTTCCAAAAGGCACTCAACGTTGATCTCCATTAATTTTTTTTCAATAACATTGAAAATTGGAACAACTTTTTTATTTTTTTACTTTTACAATTTTAAAAATGTTTACCAATTTTTTTAACGTAAAATTTCGAACAACAATTGTCCATCTAACCTTCGAGATTTTTTTTTGCATTGCTCGCAGGTAAAATGAGGTGCCCAGGGTTTGTCTTGATTCCTGACCGGCATGCCGAAATATGCCTTGTCGGCCTCACACATCTTAGCAGATGCTTCCACAGAGTAAATTTTCGCTCTTGTCTTGATAAATTGGCTGCAGACATAGCAAAATGCGTCTACCAGATGCTTGCAGCCTCTTGATACCATCTCAGAAAAATGCAGATATGTATCCACTTACCCAGCTGGAATTAAACTGAACTGATCGGCTTAAGGCCCCTGTATTTATACTACTATTAATATTACTGGAAAGTTCTAGAATGTTCTAGAAGTTACTCCAAGTTTACTCAGCACTAAATCTATCTGGAATGTTCTGGAAAATAGGTACATTTCAAAATATAAATGTCCTGGTCACAAAAGCAAAGTTTGTGGAGAATAATAGCCATTTTCTCTACTTTTGAGGCATAAGCAATTAGGAAATAACACTTACTACCCAGAAACAAAAAAAAGTGTTACACAGTGGTATCTGCGAATGCCCCAAACGCCTAAAATTATATCGCTTTGCAAATGTCCTTGGTTCCCCTCCCATCTACATCGCAACTTGATGCTGAGCTGTCGATTCTATATGGTAACTTCACTTGCAATTGCACTTACCTCGAATATCTTCACCTGTTTTCAGATTAATGTAATAGCCATCTTTTATATGTTTAATGTGATCAGTCTAAAATGATCTACCCGAGCAGACTTCTGTTGCAGGGAATTGTGAAATATTTTAGATGTTTCGTGTTGTTATTGTTCTGATTGCCCTTTGCTTAATAGCTGTTCATTGTTTTGTGGCTGAAATTCTCGTTACCTGGGTTATGTTTTCTAATCAGGCCCTCCATGGTCTCTTGAGTTCTCACCTAGTTACACAAATTGCACTCGACTCGAATGCTTTTTCAACGAATCTCTGGATGTGCCGTGTTGATTGACCATACTTCACCAATGTGATAAGTCGGTGGTGAATGGGATGTGCGAGGGGGGAGGCAGGACCTTTTCAGTTGTCGCGTCATACCCCTTCAATACCAGCACAGATCTCCCATTTTCTAGTCCCTCTCATGGACACCACACGGGGTTTATCGTTGCCTGCAGCTGCACGTTGATTGGAAACGGAGTGGCACCGAGTATTGGAGTAACCGGAGCTGCGGGAAACATCACAACCCGAGTGAAGACTCTCCGAATTCCACCTTCAGCAGAAACACTTCTGAAGGCGTCCTCGAGGTCAAACACCTGGGAACCCCACGGCAATTTACGTGCCAGATCTGCCTTACTTCTCCACGTTGACCTCACTTCCTCTGTTTAAATCATAAAACTGTTTATTTTAATAGGTAAGGCCCACTTAACTATTGTGTTCTTTTTCAGAAGCACAAATGGTAGCTCAATGAAGTGGCTTATCAAGCGGAAATTTATAGCCGCCAAATACTCAAGCGCATGTATCAACATGTCTAGGAGAAAACCGAAAACCCGGAAAAAAAATCATGGGGAAGACAGAAACGCAAACTCTACACATACAGCAGGCGTCAGGGTTGGGATCGAACCCATGACCTCCTGTATATCAGGCAAGGTCGTTAACGTCTCGCCACCGGAGCACCCCTTTCACAATTGTTTACAACTTAAACCTCGCTCGGGCCTTCAAAACAGTCTGCGATGTTTCCCAGCATGTTGCTCGCGACCTTTGTTCGGCTCATTTAAGAGCCCAACTTTTGGGCTTGTTGATTATCTCTTGCAGTTTCACATTCATTCATATCCCACGTTGGAGTTTCATCAGAAAATCAGAGGCAATACCCTCTTCATTTTCCCGTGCCTTTGTTTCCACCAATAACATCGTTGGAAAACAAATGCTAATGCCCGGTGACCAACGTTTGTTAAAGTGAGATACCCCCTCGAATAGCGAGTCTTCATCTGCATATCCTTGGTATCACCCCATTCCCACCGAAGTTGAAGCTCCTCCATTTAGACATTCAACGGCCTTCTCGTAGCACAGAGCTTTGGACAAGAGCAGTCTATAGTTATGCATCGCTCGAGTAACTTTGTATAGTGTGAACGGGCACGCTGGTAGAACACTTTCCAAATCCGAAAGCTCAGGTGTGAACTTGGCTGCTTTAAAATTCCGATTCTTTCCAACATATGCCTATACATCGTTAATGAAAAAAGGGGAGAGGGCATTCCTTCACAGTTGGCTCAGAACTTGTGCACGAAGATGTCCATCACAGCGCTCAGATCCTCCATGGCGGCGGCAGATGAAGGCATCACGAGATTATCACTGAACACAGTGTACATTAATTTTACACAAGATGAAGCTCGATCTCCGATATAACCTTTCGACTGTTAGCAACAAGAATAGCACACGAGGGGGTAGATCGCCAGCACCACGCCCCGCGACCTTTGCTTCCCACGTTGAGGGGTGCACACACCAAGTGCTCATTTGCGGTCACGTCGACCTAGAGAAGGTCCAGGACTCGTTAAGAAAAAGCTTTATCTGGTGTTGGCCCCAATTGGGAATCAAACTCGGGTCGCATAGTTCAAAATCGCAGCGCACAAACCGCTCAGATCCACACCACAAGCGTGTACAATCCACACGGGTTAACTTGGCGCAGTGACCCTACGCAAAAACACGTATTGCGTTCATGAGAGAGGACTCGAGAACCGCGAGATGACCTGGCTTAACAAACCAGGAGCCAGCCATGAGAGCAAATGCCTCAAAGGTGGAGTCTTCTTTTTAGGTCCGCCTTTTGGCGTCATCTAGTCGAGTGCCAATTGAGACGAGGCTCAGAAGAAAGCTGTCTCTGGTGTGGACCAATCAGTTTCAAGGACAATGCATATATTTTCAAATTGTGTTTTTGTTTGCATTTTGACTGCAAGTATTGTGGTTAATGCAGACAATATTCCTTGTAAAAGGTTTCAGTTATGTTGCCAGAAAAAAGGGGAAACCCCTATTATTATATTGGTTGTGTTAGTTAGATATATTAACCTGTTAACGTAAAGATATTTAATCTGTTAATGTAACACCAGAGAGTCGAAAATAAATACTAAATATCACAGACAGTTATGACTTAACTTGGTTTATAACGTCCTTCCAATGATTGCTCAGTCGTGATATTTTTGCAATTTTTATTCACTTTATTTTCATTTTTATTTTCATTATTTTATTGTTATAATTGTTTTTATTTACGCGACTTTACCGAAAAAACCATAGAATATCAGTTTCTATGTAATTTCTTTGTTCACCAAAGTTCCTGTTCCTGACACCATTGCAATCATTGAAGATTTGGTCCAACAATCACTGAATGCTCATGTACCGGCCCTGGTTAGACACTGCCTCACCAACACTTATTTCACCTGGAATGGAACATTCTACAAACAAGTTGACGGTACCCCAATGGGTTTTCCCTTATCTCCAGTTGTAGCCAATGTTTTAATGGAACATTTTGAGATAGATGCCATGCAGGCATCCACCCTACGTCCTGGCCACATGGCCTACCAGCTTTGGACCAATTCTTCAACCACATCAATTCCATATGTAACGGGTTCCGGAGACACTTGTAGATGTAACTTCTTTATTACAATACAACACTCCAACAGTCCTGATACTCTGTTACAGCCTAGGTACACAGCCTAGCTACACAGCCTAGATACTCTAGATACGCTACTCTGGCTACGCTCGCCCTCACAAGGTCGTAGAGTCGGGAGTTCCAGAGTCCCACCACTGGCTCTCACAGCATCCCAGGGTCTTCAGATGGCTGGTCGTGGGTCTTGGGTCTTGAGTTACAACTGGACCCCGATCGTCCAGAGAGCTCTCCTTTTATGCCTGGTCCAACGAGGGGTGGGGCCGTGTGCGCCACCAGACATCCCACAGAGCACACACAGCCCCCCTCCGTTGGCGGCGCCCAGGGGATTAAGCGCCTGGGAACTCAACGCCTGGCGCCCAGAGGCTTAAGCGTCTGGACCCCCTGGGATCCCAGCGCCTGGCGCCCAGAGGCTTAAGCGTCTGGACTCGCCTGGGATCCCAGAGCCCCCAGCAGCCCCTCCCTTCTTATGTCACTACATTGCCCCCCTCTACGTAGCCTCCAGCCGTCCCGGCTGTCAATAATTAGAAAGTTTAAATTAACGAAAGGGAGAGAGAGAAAAAAAATATGCGAGCCTCAACAGGAAAAGAAAAGAGAACAAGAAAGCAACCATAAAAACCATAACCAACCTGTACAACTCTACACTATATACAAGCATCAATCAACAAGGTGAAGCAATGACACGTGAACAAACGACCCGCGGCACACCTAGCCCTCCTCGGGATCCGCATAGAAAACGGGGAATTAACAACAACAAATATACAGATTCCGACGTGTTGGATGCACAACCAACACCGGTAATCGAACCGAAATCACACAACCACCGCATGGATGGCAGGGATCCACACCACTCTGCCAGCCTCCCATCAGTCAGGTGGAGAGAAGACGAAGACCAACATGTCGAGCATCCCTCTACACACACTTATCCGGACGTCTGTCTACGTCCCGGGTCGAGAAGTCGTACTTCAGGGCCGACCCATGTACTGGGCAAAGAAGTCGCACTTCAGGGCTGCTCCAGTATCTACATTTTTAAATATATATATAAAATTTACATGACAACCAAAATAAATCTGCCTGCTCCTGTCCATAAATGGTGGC